ATTCCTCCCTCCTCCTTCTTCTCCTTACCCTTTTCCTCCTCGTCCTCCTCCTCCTCCTCCTCCTCCCACTCCTACCTGTGGCAGTGGTGGTGGAAACTCATCGGCGCATCAGGTCCCACAGTCAAGACGCTGAGGGTGAGGACCACTCTGAGCGCGCAGGCGCGCAGGAGGTCCTCCGACTTTGTGCCGCTTCCTCTACGCCCGGGTCGGGCGACCTGTTCGTGGCCGAGGCTCGCCGTGGCCAGAGACGCCCCCTCGCTCCCTGTGCCGCGGACCTCGTGGTAGCGCGACGTCTGCACCCCGTCCCCCCCCCCTTCCCCCCCTTCCTCAAGGGGAGCAAACAATCACATAAACATATGAACTCGGAGGTCCGCGCGGGTTTCTCGGATCGGCGCTGGAACCTCTCTGGCGGCGCCTATGGCGCCGCCCCTAGCGCGCGGAGCGCGCCAGGGAGGAGATCCAGCGCCGATCCGGGAAACCCTTGCGGACCTCCGAGTTTTAATGTTTACGTCATTGTTTGTTCCCCTTCCCCCCCGACGGAAAGAGACGACCCTGGCCCATCTCGGCCCCCGAGGCCTACATGGAGGAGCAGAGGCGCCGCGGGCGCCGGCTGGGCCACGCCCGCGAGGGCCCCAGCGAGCCGTCGAGCGCAGGCGACCCGAGGGCCGCGTTGGACGAGGACCCCGTGCTTCGGGTGGGCAGGGCCTCCGACTCCAGACGCCACGGGACGGGGCGCGACCCCGTGCCTCGGCGGAGGGCCAGTCACGACGGTGGCCCTCCCCAGCGTTTCTGTTGCTGTCCGTCTTGGGGCCTCCTGGGGGCCTCCTCGTCGTCGTCGCCACGTCAGGACGGGCCCTGGGAGTTGTCATGGCTTTGGGGCAGACGCGGACCGGGCGGGAGAGTCGCCAGGGTCTTCACTGGCCCTCCACCGGCGGACTCCATCACCAGTGGGCGGGCTGGGCCCGACACGCACACACACACACACACACACACACCCACGCACGCACGCACGCACGCACGCACGCACGCACGCACGCACGCACGCACGCACGCACGCACGCACGCACGCACGCACGCACGCACGCACGCACGCACGCACGCACGCACGCACGCACGCACGCACGCACGCACGCACGCACGCACGCACGCACGCACGCACGCACGCACGCACGCACGCACGCACGCACGCACGCACGCACGCACGCACGCACGCACGCACGCACGCACGCACGCACGCACACACACGCACGCACGCACGCACGCACGCACGCACGCACGCACGCACGCACGCACGCACGCACGCACGCACGCACGCACGCACGCACACACACACACACACACACGCACACACGCACGCACGCACGCACGCACGCACGCACGCACGCACGCACGCACACACACACACACACACACACGCACACAGACACACACACACACACGGATACATACGCACACATATACACATACACAGACACGTACACGCATACACATACACAGACACGTGCACGTACACAACTACATACCAACACACATGCACATCAACGTGCACACATACCTAGACATACACATGCACATGCACATGCACATATACACATACACATACACATACACATACACACAACAGCATAAACATACGCATACACGCACACACACACACTCACATACACATACACATACACTTCCGTAACCATTTTGGCTCAAGACAATGCGTCTCCCGACGACCGCGAGTCCAAGAGGGCGTTCCAAGCGCGAGGGGTCGCGTTTAGAGCCTGCTCTCTGGACGAAGTCGATTTCTTGCTGGGCCACCCTGGCCCTTGTGGTTTTTAGGGTACTGTATCGTGTGGGCCCCACAAATACCATCAGTACGAGAGCAGCCATGCCGCCAGTGGCCCGACGTGATCAGCAGCGCACGAAGTGGTGCTGCAATTGATGCACGGGGCGGGCTGGGAAACCTTTCGTCAATGGTTCAGACAAGTTGGCTTGTCACGAACGCGGGGTCGCCAAGTCGGTGGCCTTCAAGTGCAAGCTTGAGCAGAAGTCCGCCGACCCCGCCCGGCGTGCCGGCCCGCGCAAGCCTGTCAGCTCAGGCAGCGTCGGCGACAATGCGGGACGCAAACCTACGACGCCCGTCGGGAAGCAACTGCTGGCCATGCGCAAGCAGGTGGAGGAGCTCTGCAGAAGAAGCTACACCAGGCGAAGTCCAAGCCGCTGGCAGCTGACATGGAAGGGGGCATGGAGGCTAATGTGGAAGCCAGCACCAGGGCGCGTATCTCGGAGCTCGACGGCTACACCGACCACTTGTGCAAAACGAAGCCGGTGCCAGATGCAATCAAGACTTTCGCGGCCCAGTGCAAGAAAGAACTGTACAATCTGAAAGGTAAGCTATTTGAGGCCAAGCCAGCCCCCGTCAAGCTCACGGCGCTGTCCTAGCGGATGGCCCAGCTGGAGAATCAGCCAGCTGCACTGGCAGAAGGCGGTGGACGACAAGAAGGCCACCATCCAGCAGCTCCAGCAGGAGGTGGCGGAGGGCGAGGCAGCCATCGCGGAGTCTCGGGCGCAGCTGGTTGCCATCACCGCGAAGTGCGCGCAGATCTGCAACCGCATGCCGACGTTTGCAGAGCGCCCCCCTGGTGCTGATGGTGGTGGCAGCGCGCGTTGCATGGGCGCTCACCACGATGGCGGAGGTCCTCCAAGACGCGGGTTTGCCGGCTAAGCTGCAGGAGAACTTTTGCGAAGTGGCGGACGAGATTCGCCGGGCTAGCTGAAGGCCAAGCAGCCCCGCAGCCGCAGCAGGCCGCCGTGGTCGCCGCAGATGGTGGGCTGCCGGGCGCGCCGAGACGAAGGAGGAGGCCGTCGACGGGGATGGGGTGTCCAGCGCAGCCAGGGAGGAGCTCAAGACGTACGTTGAGGCGCCCGGGCTCAGTCAGTTGGCTGGTGGGGTTGATGATGGCGCAGATCTGCTGGACGCGGCCACGCGTTGTTTCCATGCACCTTCCTGGGCGGAGGTCACGCGGCGCCGCGCGGCCGCGGGCGGGGGTGCTGGAGGCGCACCATGACGCTGAGATGGCGATGCTGCCTAGCGACGCCCAAGGGGGGGCTCGCGCGTGCGAGTGCGACGCTAGCGAGGCCCATGGCAGCGGGGTGGTCGATGCCCTCGCACAGCATGCCCCCCCTGGCGGCATGGGGAGGCGCTGCGACCCTCGCCAGCCCCCCCCCCCCCCCGCCCCCCACAAGTCCGAGCGAGGCCCGCGGACCTGGACAGGCAGTGGCCCTCGCCTGCGTGGCCCTCGCACAGGTCGGTCCTCCTGGCGGCTCAGGCTGGAGCTGCGACGTTCGCGCCGTCGCCCGCCCAGTACGTCCGAAGGTGGCCTGCGGTCCTGGCAAAGCCGCGGCCCTCGCATGCGAGGCCCAACAGCGGCGGGGTGGTCGATGTCCTCGCACGCGCAGACCCTTTTTGGCGGCATGGGGTGGACTTGCGCGCTGTCGCCGTCGCCCGCCCAGCAAGCCCGAGCGAGGCCAGCGGCGGCGGAGTGGTCGACGCTTTCGCGCGCGACCTTCCCCCTGGCCGCAGGAGAAGGCGCTGCGACGGTCACTGCGTCGCCCTCCCAGTAAATCCGAGCGAGGCCTGCGGCGCGGTGGGCGTTGCGGCCCTCGCCAGCGAGGCCCGCGGCAGCGGGGTGGTCGATGCCCTCGCAGAACCCCGCCCGCCGGGCGGCGTCGCCCGTCACGACGTCGCCCCCCCCCCCCCCCCCCCCCCAGCAAGTCCGAGAGAGGCCTGGGGCGAGCTGGAAGCCGCGTCCCATGCAGGCGAGGCCCACTGCTGCAGGGCGGTCGAAGCCCCCGCGCATTCTGAGGACGTCAGCGAGCAGGCCAGGATCCACACTACCATGGAAAAGGCATTTGTCCCCCTTCGCTCGGACTCGCTTGGGAAAGACCACGTGGATGAACTGCCAGAGCCACTCCCAGAGCGGCTCTTTAAACCGTGCCGGTCTTGAGACAGTCATGCGGAACGAGTCCGGCCCTGGGCCGCGCAGACGCGAGGCGGGCCCCCATGCTGTCGCGGAAGATGTCTCGAAGCGCTCAGGGGTCGCCACGTAGCCGCAGCAAGCGTGGACTTGCATGACACACTCATGCAGTTCCTTACGAACACAGTCGCGGACGTTGGGCTGAAAAGAGCAGCGGCTGGCAGCTTCCCCCACGCCTGACGGCGGCACCGATGGGAGGAGTGGCAGTCCTTGCCAGGTCGAACCCCCGCATCTCCCAGGTGCCATACCTCACCCATGGCAATATTGTGACTGGACGCGCGGTTGCCCCGTTGGTTCATGCCGGCAGTCCTCGCGTGGACCCCGCGGAGGGCGCGCGTTCTTCGACGTGGATGCCACGGAGGGCCACTCCCCGCGGGGCCTTCCGATCATCTGGGGGTTTCGCAAGTGCGTGAATCGGGTCACGGCTGCGGGACAGGACCTGGCTCATCGCATGGGCCTTCAACGTAACGCCAGAAGATATGCTGGAGCATGATTGGTTGCATTTGGTCGATGGCGCTTGCTGCACGCCCTTCCAGTCCGCGCGCTTGCAACCCATGCCTGGGCCCAGGGGGGGGGGCGCATCGACCCCCAGTCGCCCATCATCGCCGATGGCGGGTCTGCCCGCCCATCCCCCGCTCGGGCGCGGGCTCGCAAGAGCGGGGGCCTGTCGCCGGCGCACCGACCATGTGCCGCCGATTCCAAGTCGGTACCTCCCCCCCGAGCCACTCCAACGACGCGGGCTCGGTCCAACGTGACGAGCTCCATAGATATCCACCGCTGCTGGCCTGTAGATATTAAGCGCTGCTGGCCAGGCCCATTCTGGGTCCAGATGCGGTGTGCACGCCCCCTGGCATGACCTGGGAGGCATGTACACCGCTCCTAGACCCAGGATGGGCCCGGCCAGCGGCGGTGGATGTGTGCATAGATCTCGTTGCCATAGGTTCTTTTCTGGCACGTCACGGTCGCTACCCCCCTTCCACTCCTTCTGAGCCAGTCTCCCCCATAACGTTATGATGTTCCAGCCTGCTGCGTAGCCTCGGTTAACAGAAATAATGCCGAGCACCTGGAGAGTACCGCAACGTGAGGTTTTTTTGGCGCTTGGAGGCAAAACTCGATCGACACTTCGCCAGCGTGTGTCGGGCAGACACTGCTTCGATCCTGTTCCGGGTGCACGGACTTTTTCTTGGGATGTGGTCCGGAAGTACGATGCAAGCAACCTAACCCTAACGTTGCCCCTCATCCTCCCCCCTCTCCTCCCCATGCTGTCGCTCCGAGGCTCCGCCGCCCAGGAAGCCGACCTTTCTGGGCCCCACGTCCATATCCACCGCCACCTGTGGGTCCCAGGACGCCGACGCGTCTGGCGGCGAGTTGTGGATGGGCCCCCGCCCCGCCTGCGCAGGAGAGGGAGAGGTTCCTCGCGCACCTGAGCGCACTGGACGCCGGGCCCCGGTGGACCTGGGCGCTGGAAGAGGCCGGGCGTCGCGTAATGGGGGGGCGATGCATGGAGCGGGGCAGCGAGGACAGCAGAAAAGAGGCCCCGGATGGCCCCTCTCTGAGAAGTCACCTTTCTCCCCCCCGCTCCCTTCCTCCCTTCCTCCTCCCTTCCTCATCCCTTCCTTCCTTCCTAGAAGTCCTCCGCCGCCTCCCTCTTCCCTCCTCCCCCTCATCCTCTTCCTCCCTCCTCCTTCCCCTCCTCGCCCTCCTGCTCCGTCCACCTCCCTCCACCTCCCTCCTCCTCCTCCTCCTCCACCTCCTCCTCCTCCCCATCCTCCTTCTCCTCCTCCTCCTCCTCATCCTCATCCTCCTCCTCCTCCTCCTCATCCTCATCCTCCTCCTCTTCCTCCTCATTCTCCTCCTCCTCCTCATCATCATCATCATCATCATCATCATCATCCCCATCCTCATCCTCATCCTCCTCATTCTCTCCCTTCTCTTCCTTCCCCTTCTCCTCGTCATTCCCACCTCCATCGCCCCCGCATTCGGCGACGCCCCCCGAGGGCCGCGGCCCTTCCAGGCCAAGGCCCCCGCCGCCGCCGGAGCAGAGGGGGGGCAGCCCAGGCGGGTGCTCTGCGGAGCCGCCGGGGGCGCCTGGCGCGCCGCCGCCGACCGCGCTGGACGAGGACCTTGCGGGGGAGGGGGGGGTGCGTCAGGAGGGGCACGGCAAGAATTCAGGCGATCGCAGACACGGATTGAGGGGGCGTGGATTAGCGACGGGTCCCGTTTCCATGGGACATCGCGGATTTCCGCCGCCGAACGAGGCGGCACCGGCCGTATTTTGGGGAGGGCCCCCCCCCGATCCATGGATCGCTAATCCATGTTTGCGCGCCCCCGAAATGAGCAAAGCAATCCATTCCCTAGAAAATATAGGAAGACATTGGAAGTGGGGGGGGCGAGTGGGAGACGAGCATCCAGAAGAGATTCAGAAAATTGGGGATCCTGAGATTGGTTTCTGTTTGTTTGTGTGCTCCTGGGATCCTTCAACCTTGCGGGGGGGGGGATGGCGTCCAGTAGGTTCAGATCTTCGAGACAGTATGGGTGTTGTGAAGTCCTGGGGCGTTCTTCCAGATTTCGGCTTCTGGGGCCCGTTTTCGGGCACCCAGGCTAGCGAACACTGATCCGGGTCGATAAAGGTTATCCTTGGGAAGTTCGGTTGGGAGTTCTGGAATCGCAGATGGCACACATCATATCAGAGGATGTTTGTGTTGCGCGGCTGGATTCCAGCAGATTAGCTCAAGTTAGAATTTGTGTTGTTATGTGAATGCATGTATATCTTCAATTCGTTTACGCCATTCCGCCGGCCCCCAGAAGAAGCATGAGCTAGTTGTTGCAGTGGTTCCGTTTTCCAGGGTCCTGGGGATTTGGCGCTGCTTGCACCATGGCGGCGTCCTGGGTTTGAGGTTTTTCTATTGGGCTCTCCAGGGGCGTGCTGGTTGGGCGTCTGCGCGATCGTCTGGGGGGGTTTATCTCAGGCTTCTTGTATGGTTTCCTTGAGTCGTCCCGGAGCTGTCTTTTTTCTGGGAGTGGGGGGGTCGGCCGTGTGGAACGACGTTGGGAGCGTGTTGGGCCGCTTTGGCTTCGCGGAAGCCCCACGGGGCCGGCGCGTGGACAATCAAAAAACATGATGAACATCGGTGCGCTCGTCGTGATTTCTTCTTGGAGATTCGTTTGGGGGCTCTTCTTGCATTATCTGTAGGCAATATCTGGCTGTTCTCCGACCCTCTTGTTGCGGCCTCTGGGGGCGCCTGGGGGCCTTCTTGGAGGTCTTTTTGAGTTGTCTTGAAGCGCCTCGGGGGTCCCTGGGAGACTCTTGAGCCTATCGTGGGGGGAAGGGCTCGGGATGTCAGCTCGCATTTTCCTCTTGTGCCTCTCGTGAAGCTCTCTGGGTCCTCTCTTGGGCTGTTTGGACGGTTTCCGGGGCCGCCTTGGGGTCACCGGATACACACTTTGTTGTGTTATTTTATTGTTTTGTTTTTTCTCTCTCTCTCTCTCTTGATATGTATGTGTATATATATACACATATCTATATGTATATGTGTGTGCGCCCATGTGTGTATATATGTATAGATAATTTCTATGTATAAGTGTATCTATATATAGAGAGATGTGTGCGTATGTGTGGGTGTGTGTGTGGCTGTGTGGGTCAATGTGTGCGTGCGTGCGTGCGTGCGTGCGTGCGTGTGTGTGTGTGCGTGTGTCTATAATGTTGTGTGTGTGTTCGTCCGAGGTGGAGATCCGCACTTCAGGACAGGTCAGGGGACGGTTTTTGAGGCCCGTGCATTCTTCACGAGAAAGAGTCACGACGGCATTTGTCCTCGACTTCGACATCCAGGGACAGGTTTCGGACCCCCAGACCATCAACAGACTACCGCGATGATAAAAATCCCAAGGACGGGACTGACAGAGGAAGCTCACCGTTTGTTTCAAAATTCACGACCGTGGAGTAGATCTGGGTCTGGAAGCCTCCAGTCCCCAGTCCCCAGTCTGGCTGTTGTCCCCCAGTACGCGCCACATCGCTGACGCATCGGCGATGTCGCGATCTTGGTCCAGATCTTCTCCATCCCGTCGTCGCCAGTGCATCGTCGCTGTGCCAGCGATGCAGTGCGACCCCTAGACCATAGTGACTCTGACCACATTTTCGGAGGCTTCTGTTGGAAGGTAACGTTAAGTCGGGAACGTCCTTCTACAGGATGAAATCTCACAGGTCTGGGGACGATTTTTCAACTTTCTTTTGTGACTATTTATGTTTGAGTATTTCAATTTTTTCCTCCAAATTCCGACCTCAATGTAACGTTGGATGACGAGTAAAAATTGCCCGGGGGTGGCCGCCACACGTTAGCCTCCCAGCAATGAGTGGTAAATCGTGCTCTGGGCCGGCTCGTGGGTGTCGACGTCATCCTTGAGATTATCTTGACGTCGTTTCGGAAATCTCCGCCGCAGCGGCACCGCATTACGGCTCTAGCCTGAAGTCAGGCATGTCCGTCTACAGGAGAAGTATTCAAACATAGGACGAGGTTCCTATTTTCTTTGACATTGTTTGAATATGGTTTGACAATTTGTTAGTTTTCCTCCAGAATCTTCCTGTAGGGGGACATGCCCGACCTAACTCAAGCCGTCCCCCCCCTTCCCCCGTGTTTTGTCTCGAGCGCCATCCTTCACCACGTCAGGATGCAGTTCCTTGGTGAGGTTCAACTCTGCATCGGCCCTGGCGTTTACGTGATCCAGCGCCGGCCTCGTACGGCTTTGACCCGCTTAATCCAGTTTATGTTGACCCGTTGAGTTTGAGCTAATCGGGCTCAGTAGTCCGTTCATCGGGCGTGTTAGTTTCTAATCGTGCTTGCGAAGACGTCCCAGAAGTTGCCTCCTACCACAGAATGCGAGGGGCGAGGAGGGTGTTGTCCGCTCTCTGCCTACCGATCAGGCGGGGCTGGGACGAGGATAAATCCCTTCCAGAGCGTTCCGTAACGTCCTCAGAGAGCGCTCCGAAGAACTAAGAGAAGGCCGCGGCGCCCCAGATATCATCCAGCGCCGCCGGATCTAAAAAGTTCCCGACCTCTTCTCGCCCGAGTTTATTTTTTTTGTCCTGGCTTCGTCTCATATCACAAACACGAGCAGCTCTTCGAGGGTGCCCCTGCATCCCTGCCTCTCGGCACGTCCTGGCCGTTCTGGGCCATTTCGGGCCCCTGGCGGTCCTCGCCGGGCGCCGCGACCGTCAGAAAGCTACTCGGGATTAAAAACCGGTCCTGGGGACGCCGCATTGGAAAAGCATCAGGACGTCGCATGTTTGGGCTCTTCTCGCAGTGGACCCCCAGATGTCCCTACCCATTCTCCGCGAGGAGTCCTTCATCCTGAATCGTTCTCTGCCGGCCCCGAGACCCGGCACGGGTTCCCACAGACCGAGCATGGCGAGGAAGCCTCCCGTCATAATTTCCAGGAGGGGAAAAAACACACAGACATAATTAATCGTCGATTTCCTCGAAAATATGGGAAAATATGGGCAGTGGGGAGGAAGACAGAAATCTTGAAAATATGAGAAAATATGGGAGGATATGTTATTTGTCTGTATTTATTTGTGTGCCCTGGGGCCCCTTCATAATTAGCTTTTTCCGTGGCGTGAGGGGTCTGGGCTTTGGCCACCCCCCGCAGGAGAGGCAGAGGGCTCTCGACGAGGACATGGCCGCGCTGGAGGCCAGCCTCGGTGAGGATGCTGCTGATGCGGATGTTGCTGTTGTTGCTGCTTGTGATGGTGATCCTGATGCAAGCGATGATGCTGATGCAGACGACGATGATGGTGATGGTGATGATGATGATAATGATGTTGGTGATGATGCTAGTGGTGATGATGATGAAGGTGGTGCTTATGATGTGGATGCTGATGCTGCTGCTGATGCTGCTGATGATGATGCTGATGATGCTGATGCCAGTGATCATGATACTGATGGTGACGGTGATGATGATGAGGAGGAGGAGGAGGAGGAGTAGGAGGAGGATAATGTTGATGCGGATGAGGATGAAGATGGTGATGAGGAGGAGGAGGAGGATGCTGATTATGCTCAAGACGATGATATTAATGATGACGATGACATGATGATGATGCTGATGATGATGATGGCATGATTATGATTATGATGGTGGTGAAGACGCTGCTGATGATGCTGAATTGCCGATGGTAATGGTGATGATGATGAGCTTGATGTTGATGATGCCGATGATGATGTTGGTGATGCTGATTCTGATGCTGTTGCTTATGCTGCTGATGCTGATGCTGGTTCTGATGATGATGATGTCGACGACGACTGCTAATGGTTGTGGTTATGTTGCTGCTGATTATGATTGTGATTGTGATTGTGATGGTGATGGTGATGGTGATGGTGATGATGATGATGATGATGATGATGATGATGATGATGATGATGATGATGATGATGATGATGATGGTGATGGTGGTGCCTGGTGCTGTTCTGCTGCGCACCCGTTGGAGGCCGTCCTCCAGAACCTCAACAGCTCGAGGTGCTCCGAGCCCGCGGGCGACGCGAGGGCCAGCACGGCGCCGCTACGAGCCGCGCCCGCGCGCCTCCCGGACAGCACGGTGGACCCCAACGTGCGGGGATTGGGCCACAAGGCTTTGTCATAAGGCTTCGGGTTGCGTGCAAGCAGCCCCCCCCCGCGGGGAGTCCCAGCTGGCCTCAGCAGCCGAGGATTAGTTGGATTCCGCACCCCTGAGATGATTATTTGGACACCGCACCCCTGAGTTCGGGCTGGGGCGGCCGGGGCTCGGGCCATGGGCCAGCCAGGCCCGGGGCCTGGGCTGGCCGTTGGGGTCGGGGCCGGGGCCGGGACCGGGAGGGGTTCCAGCTCCTCACCATCCCTGGCTGGGACCGTGGGAGGCGGGGACAAAGCTCAAGCAAAGCTCAAGCACAGCTCAAGCAACTTCAAACAAAGCTCGAACACATGCCGAACATAGCGTTAACCCAGCTCCAAGAGAGTCCAAACAAATCGCAAATCAAGCTCAAACAATGGTCGAGCCTGCGTGGGCGGGCGCGGCAAGTGGGGCAAGCGAGGCAAGTGGGGCGCTTTTCGAATGGTGGCGCATGACGTCGCCCTTCTCGCACAGGTTTCTGGCCCCCCCTCCAGTCACCTACTGGGGGCCTCTGACGCCGTTCTGGGCTGCAGACAATGATGATGCTGACAATGATGATGCTGATGATGATGATGATGATCATGCCGATGACGATGACGATTACGACGAAGATGAAGATGAGGATGAGGATGAGGATGGTGATGATGATGGTGATGGTGATGATGATGGAAATAATGATGATGGTGTTGATGGTGTTGATGCTGATGATAATGTTACTGATGATGACGATGCTCATGACGACGATGATGATGGTGATGGTGATGATCGTGATGATGGTGATGACGACGGTGATGATGATGTTGATGTCGAGAATCATTCAGATGATGGTGGTGATTATTTTGATGCTCATGACCATGTTGACGATGGTGATGATGGTTTTGATGATCATAATGGTAATCCTGATGATCATGATGATGAGGATGATGGTGATCATTGTGATGATGATGCTTTGATTTTGTGTCCCGCACGCCCGACCGGCGTCTTCAGTGGACGCAATATTTGTCCCTTAGCCTTGTCCCACCACATGCAGATTGCAGTTCATGTCCCGCCCGCCCGCCCGACTGAACGCCCCATCACTGAGTGAACTGTGCATGCATTGTCCCGCCAACCCGGTCGGCGGGCCCGCTGGTTTTGTGGTTTATGTTTCCTACAAGTTTGTCCCATCACCGAGTATAGGTTGAAGTTAATGTGCCAACCGTCGCATCCGCCGTGGCCGTTTCTGTTGTCGTAGTCGTCGTCGTCGGCCCCGTCGTCGTCGTCGTCGCAAGCTCAAACAAGCCTAAACAAAGCTCAAACAAAACTCAATCAATGCTCAAACAAAGCTCCAACAATGCTGAACGATAGATCAAACAGAGTTCAGATATAGTTCCAACAACGCTGAAGCAAAGCGCAAACAACGCCCACACAGAGCCCAAGCAACGTTCAACACACAACTATAACAGAGCTCAAGCAAAGCTCCAACAGAGGCCACACAAAGCTCGAGCAGCGCCCACTCGAAGCGCCCGCAGAGCTCCAGCAGAGTCCAAAACAACGCTCACAACAGAGCGCACACGAGGCTCACACGGGGGCCTTGCCCAGCGTTGGCCGCGTCTGGCCCCAGCCCTGGCCGGCCTCGGCGGGCCTCGGCCTCGGCTTCGGCCTTGGCCCGCCCCGGCTCTCAAGCAGCGGCGACGCGTCCTGGCTCGCCTATAGCCCCACCAAAGTGTTCTAAGAACCTTTTGTGGTTGCCACGGGATGTTCTTAGAACAGTTCTGGCTGGGACTGTCTTGTTTTAACACATCGGGTTTATGATCTAAGAACATTGGTTTTGTTTGTTTGAACATTTTTGGATGCTAAGAACATGTCGTGGTATGACTATAGGAATGCCGGGACGGTCGGTCCCTGCTCAAGGCTCCAGCCCCAGTCCCCTTGATTTCCTAGGAGGGCTAAAACAATGTATGCAGTGACGAAGCGCCTTGGCTCGCCTATAGGATCACCAAATAATGTTCTAAGAACATTATGTGCGAGATGTTCTTAGATTATTTCTGGCTGAGACCGCCTTGCTTTCACACGTCGGGCTTATGTTCTAAGAACCTTGTTTTCGTTAGTCGAACGTGTTCTACTCAATTTCATGGTTGGCCGACAGGAATGCCGAGACGGTCGGTCCCCGATGGAATAACACTGGGATCCTGATTTGTAAATACCAATCGAGGTTGTAAGCAGTCTAGATCGGTCTAGAGGTTTGAAATCTTTTTTGGCACCCTGGAAGGTCAGAGGGCCGAACACCCCTCCACCGATAGTTTTACCCCCGCCCCCTCGGTTCGAACTAGGGCGGGGGCGGGGAGGGGGAAAAGGGGGATTCTGCACCCCCTTCCCCCTTCCCATTTCCTGTTGTTCGGTCCTTCGCCCCTTCCCCCCCCGTCCTGGTTCCCACCCCCGCTCCGTTCCCAGAAGTTTACCAAACCCACGACCAGGACCCTCGCCCAACTTCCAGGCATTTTAGGTAATAGTAATTGATGTATCTTCTCCAAACAGTGCACTTCTTCTGTAAGCTTTAAGGAACTGGGCCTGGGTGGCGTGAGTGGCGGTCTGGTGGTCTGGCAGCTCCGTGTCCGCCGTCGCCGCCCCGTCGCCGCCTCGTCGCCGCCCGTCGTCTGGGCCCAGGTGGCGGTCTGGCGGCTCCGTGCTCGCCGTCGCCGCTTCGCCGCCGCCCGTCATTTGGGCCAGGTTGCGGTCTGGCGGCTCCGTGCTCGCCGTCGCCGTTTTGTCGCCGCCCGTCATTTGGGCATGGGAGGCGGCCTGGCAGCTCCGTGCTCGCCGTCACCGGCTCGTCGCCGCCCCGTCGCCGCCTCGATTGTACAGCATAGGGTGCGCCACAATTTATCGCACAACAAAGATTGCAGCACGTATTGTGCACGGCATAGATAGCACCACCTCGATTACACCACACAGATGGACCACATCTATTGCGCAGCATATATTGCACCATGCTGATTGCACCACGTCGATTGTACCACATAAGTTCACAATATATATTGCAACACATTGATTGCACAACGTAGCCTCGTATCTTGCTTCACAATCTATTGCACAGCATAGATGGCATAAACATACATTTCACCACATAGATTGCACCACGTCGACTGCACTGCAAATATTGAGCAACAGAAGGAGAAAGCACGGTTTGGGGTCCACGATGGCTCACATGTGTTTTTCGGGCGGCATGGCCCCCCAAAAAGTCCCGGTTGCCCTGAACAGGTTCCCAGAGTAGCCCAGGGCGGTCTCAGCACCCGCGCGGCGCCGCGGTTCGGGTGTTGAGACCGCCTAAGACTATTCGGGGGCCTGTTGAAGCCAAGTGGGACTATTCGGGCAGCCTGTTGAGGCCAGCTGGAACTTCGTGCGCAGCCCGAAGCCTTAACAGCTGCGGGGGGCACTGGTCCCGAGGTTGTCAGCAGTTCTTCTGGGGAGGACGAGGTACCGATGCGGCTGCTCGTGGTGGAGGGCCCTCGTCGCAACGGCTGGATCCTCTTCGGCATTCTGGTCATTCTGAGGATCGGTGGTAAAGGTACCTTGTCGGTCCTCCCATTTCTTGCGCTCGGGGTCCTCCCATGTATCCTGGACTGTCGTCGGAGAGGGGACGGCACAAGCATAGAGGTCCGCGCGGGCTTCCTGGATCGGCGCTGGACCCCCCTTTCCTGGCGTGCGGAGCGCGGCAGGGGCGGCGCCAGAGACGACGCCCGGTGGGACCCGGCACCGACCCGAGGAAGCTGCGCGCACCTCCGAAAACGGATGGCCAGCTTGCAGGCGGGCGAGGTGCAGCCGAGCACCCGCCGTCCGATGCCACTCGTCACGCCTTCTTCTTCCCGGGGAGCCGGGACGGAGAGCCGGCCCCGAGGGAGGGCCCCCGGGGCCCGTGACCCGCTCCTGCGGGACATCTCCCGATATGTTTGTGTTCGATAAGCGGTTGCCGCTGCTGGCCGCGCCGGCCTCCTCCTCCTCCTCCTTTTCCTCCTCCTCCTCCTCCTGCGTCTCCTCCTCCTTCGCCTCCTCCTCCTCCTCCTCCTCCTCCTCCCTCCTCCTCCTCCTCCTGCGTCTCCTCCTCCTCTTCTTTCTCCTCCTCCTCCTCATCCTTCTCCTCCTCCTCCTCCTTCTCCTCCTCCTCCTCCTGAGTGCCTTCTGCCTTCTCCCGTCCCTCGCGGCCGCCTTCCCTGTCCAGCCCCCCCCTTCTTGCGCGCCCACCTTTTCGCGCATCGGTCGCCCCGACCGCCACTCGCTGGAGCAGCACTGCTGCCTCGCCGTCGGCGCAAAAGTTCTCAAGCAGCGGCCCCACGGTGCCCGACCCCTTCCCCACGGTTGGTTCCTACTCAGAAGGGAAACAACACAGACAGAATTAATCGTAGACTCCCAGGAAATTATGGGAAACTATGGGAAGTGGGAGGGGAGACAAGAACCCAGAAAATATGGCAAAATATGTTGAATCCTTTTATTGGTGTGCATGTATTTGTGTGTCCCAGTTCCCCTTCACTTGTGGAACAGAGCCAGGCATACACAGAATTTGCTGGAGGTCCGCGCGGGTAAAACCTGGATCGACGGGGCCCCCCCAGGGCGCCTCCGGCGCTGCCATCCCGCTCGCTCCGTGCGCCAGGGAGGGGGCTTCAGGGCCGATCCAGGACATCCGCGCGGACCTCCTGGAAGGTGATGCTCATGCAGTGCACTTGGCATCGCTCGGACGTGTGCATTTTTCCTCCGGCGAGGGCCATCGAGGAGCGTCCTTGATCATGTGGCGAAAACACCACGCACGAAACCGACAAAAACACAGGGAATGGACGTCCGAGCGGTGCCAGGTACAGTGTGTTGTTCCTCTATCTTCGTCCTGGATCCCTGCTTGATGGTCCGGGGACCCGAGAAGGGCGCCGCAGGCCGAAATGAAGGAAGCACGCCCAGGTTGAACGACGCACGGGCGACGCGAAAGAACGGGGTCGTCTCCGCCGACATTGGCGCGCAAGTTGTCCGCACAATGCCGCGCGTGAGCACCCTGGTCTCCAATGCGGCGTGCCGCGCTGGCGGCCCGCGTGAGCCACCGCGCAAGGTCGCTGCGCCATCTCGCGTCGGCCCCCTTTCTCTTCGTCGCCCACGTGTGATTGTCCAGGGGCCCGAGGATGGGCCACAGAGGCCGAAATCTACCAGTTTGAAACATATCCCTATCCCTATGTTTGACATCACCTCACCTCGATGTCGATCTTAAGGATTCCCTCAGTTTCTGAGGGCCTCTCCCTAAGATTGTCCTCGCTTTTTGCTCGCCCGTCTTGGGGATAGGGATAAGTTCGAGGCTGGTCAGAAATTGCGAGCACACACGCCCGGATTGAACCGAACATGGCCTGGCCCGAGGTGGGCGCGGGCGAGCCGCAGCAGGACGCGCCGCCCAGCCCGCAGGCCTCGGTCCTCGGCGGGGGCGCGCCCCTCATCGGGGGCACCGTGTGGGGGGGGGCTCAGTGGGCCCTGGAAACGACAGGGCCGTTTTTTTTACCGGTTCCGTTTTGCCGTTTTTTTTGCCGGTTCCGACGCCGTTTTTCTACCGGTTCCGTCGCCGTTTTTTGACCAGTTCCGGCTCCGGTTCCAATCTTGGAGCTCTTTTTTGCCGTTTCTGGTCGCCGTTTTTTTGCCGTTTCCATTTTCAAGGGATTTTTTGGGGGAAACGGTGAAAAAACGGCCCTGCCGTTTCCGGGGCCCACAAAGGGGTGGGGGGATGCATGGTCTGGGGCGGAAAAGAGGGGGGTGATGATTAGGGGAGGGGTGGATCTCATGGCGGGGGCCATGAGATCTCCCCAGGTTTCATGGCGCCCCTTCTTACCTCATTGCGCCCCTGGCCCCCCCGCTGGGCCGCGCACATGCCGCCGGTCATGATTTGCACCCCCCCCTCTTGGACACTCCCCTCTCTTGGCCGCTCCCGACATGGGCTCAGGGGGGGGCGTTTTCGAGGCTCGAGGCTTTTTGGCGCTCCCGTTCGTCCTCGGCGATTTCCCAGCTTCGGGATGCTCTCCAGCAGCGCCTCGTCGAGAGCGTTCGGGGCCTGCCTGGGTCGTCCCGCAGGGCCGCCAGTGGTTCCTTGTTCTGCCCCCCATGTAGGCCACCCCCCATCCCCTGATTATCCAAAGTGCCAGAAAATGGCACTCCAGACTTCCCAGACCTGGCCAGACTGCTGGAACAACCGCGGCTGGAATTGGTGCATCAAGGTCTTGGTGCTATTTGTCTGGCCCTCCTTCAGAGAAACACACAGACACAGTTCATCGTCGATTCCCCCGAACATGTGGGAACATATGGGAAGTGGGGGGGGGAGACGAAACCCCAGAAAATATGTGGCAATAGTTGGACTCCTGATATGTGTGCCTATTTTTTGTGTGCCCCAGGGCCCCCTCACTCCTGGGAGGTCAGGGGCACCACTCCCCCCTATCGTTGCCCCTCGCTTCTGCGGAGCGCTGAGCACGGCGGAGCGGCTGCTCGCGGACCTCCGGGCGGCCAGCCGCGGGCGGCCGCCGCCGCACGAGCGGCGACCGCCGAGCGGGCAGCGCCGGGCGAAGCGCCCCGGCGGCGAGGCGGCCGAGCAGGCGCTCGGAGGGAAGCAGTGGCGGAGCGTCCCGGCTTGCCTATAGGCCCACCAAAGAATTCTATAAAATCTTCGGGGTCGGAAAAGAGGGGGGTGATGACTAGGGGGGGGTGGATCTCATGGCGGGGGCCATAATATTTCCTCAGATTTCATGGCGCCTCTTCTTATTTCATTACGTCCCTGGCCTCCCCGCTGGGCCGCGCACATGCCGCCGGCCATGATTTGACCCCCCCCCCTCTTGGACACCCCCCTCTTGGCCGCTCCCGATATCTTTGTGTGGCTTGCACGAAATGTTCTTAGAACATTTCTTGCCGAGGCTGTCTTGTGTTGACACATCGGGTTGATGTTCCAAGAACATTGCTTTCGTCCTTAGAACGCTTCTGGGTTCGAAAAAACATTTCTTGGTAGGCCCATAGGATTGCCGGGACGGTCGGTCCCTGCTCAACGGAGGGATAATCTTTGCACGATCGACATGGGCACGGAAGGTGTGGGCACGGAGACAAGCAGCGATCCCTGGCCATTTTGAGCGGGATTCGCTGTCCGCGTCGCCGCGGACGTGGTCCACTCGAGGCAGAGGGCCGCGTGCCCAACGGCGGCCGTTGTCGGTTTGTGGACAACATTTGTTGTTGGGCATGGTGCCTATTGTTTCTATATTTGTTTCGGGCGTCCAAACGGTCCTCGTGACCCACAAGGGGGTCGAGCGGAACGGAGAACGGGGGGCTGTGCTATACATTTCGGGCCACTTGTATTGCATATGTAATGCGACACAGAATCGTATCGCATTGTTTTGCAACTAGCTAACTGTGTTGCGCGCGAAAATCCAGCACTACATGTGCGCACGGGGATGTATTGTACACCACAAACCTATTGCAAGCCCACATCTATTGCGCCAAATATACTGCACCCCCTTTTCGCTGGACCCCCTCTTGGGTCAACGTGGGAGACAATACCAATTCAGAGGAGGCGAAGGTACCCATACCGCTACCCTTCCTTGGTGTTCACCTTTTCTGGGCCGCCGGGGAGACCCCGCCACCGCCAGATTCGCTTAGTCATTCCGGGCAGAGAGCACCCGGGGAGTGCAGTGGGTCGGCCACGCACAGAGGGAAGTAAGGGGAGGGGGGAGGCTTCTTAGAAGCACCCCTGCTGCGTAGAAGGCGCGGGCCCGATCTGTAGGTGTAAGGCCCGCGCCCTTTAAGAAGCAGCCTCCTTCTAAGAAGGCTTCCCCCCTCCCCCTACCTCCCTCTGCGCGCCGTCAATCGATATCGCTATGTTTGCCTCCTTTCTCGTTGTTTGGGGGCGCAGTGGGAGGCCCGCGTCGCCACGTCTGGATTCGCTCCGAGGTTCTGACCAGAGTGCACCCGATATTGCTATCCTTGCCTCGTTTTCACTGTTTTGGGGTGCTGTTCGAGGCCCTCGTCGCCACGGCTGGATTCGCCTCAAGATTCTGGTCAGAGCGCACCCCTGGAGGGGTCTGGGGAGCAGCGGTCGATAACTATCCGTATGTCCGTGGCTTGCCCCAGGCGCCGTGCCTCTCCGACTACCTCAGCCTGGAGGCGAGGGGCTCGTGCTCGAGCCTGCCCGCTGCCGCTCCCGAGCGGCCGTCCCTGTCGCGCTCTGCCAGCAGCAGCCTGCAGGCCAGGAGAGAGACAGACACCACCGCCACCGAGAAGAGCAGGGAAGCTAACAATGACATGAACGTGAAAACTCGAAGGTCCGCGCGGGTTTCTCGGATCCGCGCTGGGCCGCCCTGGCGGCGCCCCCGGCGCCGCCCCTGGCGCGCCCCGCGCGCCAGGGAAGGGGGTCCAGCGCGGAGCCAAGAACTCCGCGCGGACCTCCGCTTGGCATCGCTCGGACGTGTGCATTTTTCCTTCGGCGAGGACCGTCGAGGAGCATTCTTGATCATCCTGCGAAAAAACCACGCACGAAACCGAAAAAAGCACAGGGAATGGACGTCCGAGCGATGGCGAGTCCGTGCTCTGACATTCATGTAGTGTTTCGTTCCCCTGGAGAGCCCGTCGGGGGGGGGGGATCCGCCCCTGGCTGTGGCGCGCCCGAGCGTCGTCCAGCACTGCGTGGTGCTCGGGCGTGCCACCGCCCAGGGGTCGGCCCCTCCCCCCCCTCGACGGATTCTCGGTGGCGGTGGTCTCCCCGACGTGCGCTGCTCAGATGCTTTCGGCACGGGGGCCTCAGATGTCCAACCCTTTCCATGGGGCCCGTGCTCCACCGCGCGTGGCTTCTTGCTTGCTCCAGGGCCCTCGGGGGCCGAAGCACGGCCCCGAGCCGCCCGCCCCGAGTTTTGTCCGGGCGCGACCCTGCCTGGGTGTGTGTCTCTCCTCCGAGCAGGGGGGCCAGCGCAAGCGCGCGGCCAGGGGTCTGGACCCGCTCATGTTCGGGTCCGCCGCGGGCCTCCCGCGCGGGCTCCGCGCGGCCGCGGCCCCTGCGGGCGGGGCGCTGGCCGGGTGCCTGTCGCTGTACCAGGAGGTGTGCGAGAGAGTGTACGACAGCCTGCAGCATCTCGAAGGTGAAACACCTGCATAAGTCAAGCAGTGGCGAAGCGTCCTGGCGTGCCTAGAGGCCTGCCAAAACAATGTTTTAAGGACCCTTTGTGGGTTGCACGACATGTTCTTAGAACATGTTTGGCTGGGACTTTCTTGTTTGGACGCATCGGTTGTATGTTCTAAGAGCATTGGTTTGGTTTGGGTTCGAAGAACATGTCGTGGTAGGCCTATAGGGATGCCCAGACGGTCGGTCCCTGCTCAAATAAGCATCATCAAATGTTCGAAGGTTTGCGTGGACCTTGGTGCGAAGGGTTCGCGTCGTGTCGGCCAGCGGCGACCCCACTGCCAGCGTTCAACGTGGAACGCCGCCAGCGACCCAGAATCGGTCCATGCTGAACGACCAAACCCATCGGCCGATCACTCAAGGTTGAAGGATCCAGCGCAGTGTCAGAATACCAACGCCAGGGTTGGCACGACACGAACCTAGTGCATGTTTAGTTGTGTTGATTCGGGTTTTCCACCTTCCGGCACCCAGAGGAGAAATTCGCACCACCGCCACCGAGCACCCATCGAGGGGAGGGGAGGGGGGCCACCCCTCGGCGGCCGCGCGCCCGAGCAGCACTCACCCCCCCGATGGGGTCTCGTTGGCGGTGGTCCTTTGCTGCTCCTCTGGAGCATCACCCCGCCCTCGTGGCCGGCCGCGCGCCCGACCCGGCCAGCTCCAGCGCCGCCGCCGCGCCGCCGCGCAGGAAGCAGGGGCAGCGTGTATGGGGGAGAGGCTCAGGAGGGTATCCACTCGACCTCATATCGCCCGTTGGCCCATGGATCTCCGAGGGGGGGCCGCCTGCAGTCGACCCGCGCAATGAGGACGCACGATACGGATGCGAGGGCTTCGGTATGCCACGTCGACCATTCGCGCGCGGGGAGGGGCCAGCGAAAGCGGCCAAGCATGGGCCGAAGGGGAAGGATGCCAGGGTAACCCTGGAAAGTTGCTCATCCTTACTGTGCGGGTTGACTGTAGCCCACCCCGCTCAGGAGCGTACGGATTCGCTGTCGGGGGCCTATCGCTCCTCTACCGGCGGCGCGTCGCCGACTTCAGGTCGATGTTTCCCCGCTGAGCTGGGCCCTCCCGGATGGCGTTGTCCCGAGAATTCGAACGGGGAGATTTCCTTGTCCTGTGTCAGGGGGGAATTCAGAGCCCCGAATCATCACGGGTAACTCGGGTCAGGGTTAACTCGGGTTCGTGTTTCGGGAGTCCAAACCCGAGTTACCCCGGACCCGAGTTACCCCGGATAATTCGGGCGTCCAGAGCCCCACATCATCAGGGGTAACTTGGGTCAGGGCTAACTCGGGTTCCTTTTCCAGGAATCCAAACCCGAGTTACCCCGGACCCGAGTTACCCCAGATACCTCGGGCGCCCAAGGAATTGCGGGCAACATTTTTTTATTAATTCATTGCCAGTGCGTCTTGGACTTTCTTGGAAGGGGCGCCGCAAGGCCGAGGCGCACCTGATATGGATAAGCATCTAGCCGTTTGGGGCCAGATTTTTATCCATATCCAGTGCACCTCATGTTTCTGGGGAAGAGAGCCCGAAACTCCAAGACGCACTAGATATGGACATAGACATTGCCCGCAGTAATAGCGGTCGCAGCGGTAAAGGATGAATGAGATTTCTCCCTCGGTAGTGAGACCTCCGCCCGGCGCCCGCACAGGGGCAGCCAAAAAGCCTCGCCCCCGCGGCAGCAGTCATGCAGCGGACGCACGGGAACGCTAGGGGAAGGGAGGTGGCGACCGTCCAGGCTTAAGTCGGGCATGTCCCCATACAGGAGGAGTATTCAGAAATAGTCCAAACGTAGCCTTGGGATGATTTGTTGAGCATTGTTGGGCTATGTTTGAGCATGTTTGGACTCTTTTTCATTTGTCGTCCGGAATCCGCCTGTAGAGTCCAGGCGGACGCTTGGCCGCTCAAACATGTGCCATTCGTGACCCAACAATATTCACATAAGTCTTGAACCCACATTACGGTTGGCGTCATAAAGGGTAGCGCGGTGTGTGGCGCCGTCGGCACTTGGTGCACGCTGTCCCACGCCTTGGGGATGGCGTGCACGGAGGAAGCATCTGCCAGGGAGATGACGTGCACTGAGGGGGCCCTTTGCAGGGGGGTCGCCTCACAGAGACAGCGTTCACAGAGAGAGCTTCATTTCAGAGTTCATTCGGGCATGTCCCTTCACAGGAGGAATATCCAAAAATAGTCCACAAGTAGTCTGGGGACGATTGTCTTAGTATCTTTTACTACTTGTGAGTACTTTTGTCTGTAGTTGCTTTTTCTACCAAACTCCCCCTGTAGGAGGACACGCCCGACCTAACTGTGGATGCCAGGAGCATCGCACTCGGTACCCTTTTTCCTGGCATCGCTCGGACGTGTGCATTTCTTCCTCGGCGAGAACCATCGAGGACCATCCTGGACCATCGAGCAAAGAAAACACGCACGAAACCGAAATGGATGCACGCGAAATGGATGTCCGAGCGATGGCAAGTTCTGGGTTTCCCCAGCATCGCCCCCCCCCCCCGAGGAAGGCCGACCCGTACCTGCAGGACCTCGCCGCGTGGTGCCGCGCCGCCCCCGGGCCCGCCGCCGGAGGCGGAGAGGGCACCGGGGGCGCGGGCCGCGGGGCCGCGGCGGAGCTGTGCCGGCGGCGGCGCCGCAGGAGAGTCGACTAGACGGAAGAGTGACCCTTCGCCGTCCTCCTCCTCCTCCTCCTCCTCCACCTCCACCTCCACCTCCACCTCCTCTTCGCCGTCCTCCTCCTCCTCCTCCTCCTCCTCCGAGTCCTCCCCCTCCTCCTCCTCCTCCTCCTCCTCCTCCTCCTCCTCTCCTCGCCGCAGGAGAGTCGACTAGAAGTAAGAGTGACCCTTCGCCGGAGTGACTTTTGGTGCGGGCACAGATGGGTCCCCAGATGGTTGAACACGAAGCAGCAGCAGCTGCTTGCGCGCCCAGGTTTCGTCCCCCCGCGGCCCCCCAGAAAGTCGCGCACCAAAGGTCACTCTTACCCAATCTTCTATTCTTTTTCCTTCGAGATTCGCACGATCGCCAGATGGTTTGCTTGCGCGCCCAGGTTTCGTTGGAATGGCCGAAGCTCGGAGACCTCGGGGATCGGGGGCGAGAGATCGCCTGCACGCGCGCTCCGGCTGGGGCGGGGCGTCCAGAGCCGACGGGCTGCGCCGTCGGGGCGTGGTGGCCTCCTGGTGGCCACCTCGCCCCGGCGCCGCCAGCTCGGGCCTCTGGACCAGAGGCCCGAGCTGGCGGCGCCGGGGCGCACTCGCCCGTGGTCACGACACCAAGCGGCGAGGACGGGCGCGGCCCCGCGTCAGGGGTATTTTGGGGGCCCCCAAGCGGTGGGTTCGGGAGCTCGGACATGTCGGTGCGATCGAAATGGTTCGGTCGCCAGCGATTCCACCCTCAGCGCCGAGTTGAGTCTGACTAGCGCCGATTGGGCGTCGATCACCGTCGATTGGCGTTGATTGGCGTCGATTGCCGTCCGGCAACCAGATGGTAGGGGGGGTTCCCATGACTTGCCACTGAAAAGTGGGTACGGAAAGAACTGGCACGAAGACCGACAGCAGGTCATGCTTATTTTGAACGGGACTCAATGTCGGTGTCGCCGCGGACGCTGTCCATTTGAGGAAGAAGCCGCGGGCGAGCTCGGGGAAACAATCACCCTAACAAAACACCCTGTCGATTGGAGCACAGCACTGGTCCTGGCAAGCAGGAAGGGGAGGGCAAGGTTCGAGGCTTCTGGGTTCGAGAAGGTTTTGTTTCTTCTCTCGATCTCCTGTGGCCGTTTTCGCGCTCTAGGATCGTCGTTGGTGGATAACGCACGACCTGCGGTACGGCATTCACTGTTGCATCAGAAGCGTACGCGGGAGTTGAGTTCTGGCAAAACGAAAAACCAGAATAGCGGTAGGGTGCGCCATCTTTTCGAAGCGTCGCTCACGGGAGTGGAGTTTTGGCAACACAGACAGCAGGGCATGTAGAAGGCGTAGGGGCCAGATCACGATTCCTGCATCGATTGTGAGGAGGTCTCTGGCGAAACGGCTGCCAGGCTGGGCGCGCTAGGGCGACCCGTCCCCACGGTGGGACTCTGTTGTGGTCCCTCGCTTATGTTTACTCGAACCCTCTCACGAAACGCTACAGTCGAGGCGTTGACCTTGAGGAACCCTAAATGAGGAACGAAGCCCCTATTCTCCATAAGTTGAACTTCGATTTCGTATCGAAAACCTAGGAAAATCCAAGGCAAGCTGCGAAACACTTTTAAGGAACACGGAGCCCCTCTCAACGAAAAGGGTTCCTTCTTCAGGGCCCCGACTGTATTAGCGGAGAAGTCGGCGTGGACACAAGTGGTCAGAGTTTCGAACGGATTTATCGGATTTGCGCCAGGGTCCCCTGGCGTTAACGTTGGCTTTGGGGGTTTCTCCGCGGCCCACCTGATTCACGGGTCTGCGTGACTCTGGTTCGACTCTGGTTCGATTCAAGTTCGTCTCAACTTCGACTCAAGTTCGACTCAAGTTCGAGTCAAGGGCGACTCAATGTCGACTCAGGCCGACGGACGTTCGACGCAGCAGGAAGGTCCCGAGAACCACCATGTAAGCAGGGGCGCCTCTGGCGCCGTCCCTGCCGCGCTCCGCGCGGATATTCAGTCGGCGACGGGAAAAAAGGGTCCACCTGCGCCGACTGGCGCGTAAGTGCCGCGCCAGCGGCACGCGTAAGCCGCCACGTAAGGGCGCTGTATCATCTCGCGTAATGCAAGTTTTTACCGTCGCCTGCGTGGAGAGTTGATGCCTGCTTGTCTCTATCCTGCTCCTCTGCAGCAAGGGCTGCAGAAAAAGGAGGCCATTAGGGCCCCTCTAAAGGGGCACTTAGGGCCCCTCGAGGGACCCTTCAGGGCCCAAAAGGGGATCTTGGGGGCCCGACAAGGGCTCCTTTCTTTCTCCCCTCAGTTATCGCTCCCCCTTTTTACTTGTGGCTACGCGGTATCACCTACAAGAGAGATGATAACCCAACGACTTTTGGGAAGGCGAACTGGGATGTTGCTTGCCCTCCAGCCTTGGCCTTAGACTCTACGGAAGCACGCTCGATGATATAAGTCTGCCCCAAAGTTATATCCTAGGCCAGGCCTGCCACTCGGACAATTCTGCTTGACACGCCCGAAGTTCCCGTCATTCGCTCCCCCCGCCCTTCGCGCCCAGACGCTCCGCGCGGGCATGACGTGGAGAGCCGCTTCCCGTGCGACTTAAAACATGTGTGACCCCCCCCCTGCTCCTCCTCCTCCTCCCTCCTCCTCCTCCTCTCCCCCTCCTCCTCTTCCTCCTCCTCCTCCTCCTCCTCCTCCTCCTCCTTCTCCTCCTCCTCCCCCTCCTCCCCCTCCTCCTCCTCCTCCCCCTCCTCGACAGGAGCGGCCCCCTCGCCTTCGACCCTTCCACGGCCGCCTGCGGGGACTTCCTGGGCCCTCGCGCTGAGCGGGCCCTCTGCGAGCACTACGGCGTGGAGGCGCCCCGGCGGCGCCTGGACCCGCCCGCGCCGCGGCGGCGCCGCTGACGCGCGAATGTTGGCGGCGCGCAAAAGGAGGGGGGGGAAGGGGGGAGGGCTTCTTAGATGCAGGCTGCTTCCTAGGAGGCGCCAGCCTCACGTCTATAGAGAAGGCCCGCGCCTTCTGAGAAGCAGGGGTGCTCCTAAGAAGCCCTCCCCCCTCCCCCCACCCCCCTCTGCGCGTGGCTGCGAGTGGGCGCCCGGCGCGGCGGGGCGGCGCTGGCGGGTCTCGGGGCCAGCGGCGCAGTGGACCCCGAGATTCAGAGGGGGAAGAGGTGCCCATGCAGCTACCCTTCTGTCGGGCCTGTCCCCCTACAGGGGGATTTTCGACGAGAATTAAAGAAAACAAGCAATACCCCAAACAGGCAAACAAATACTCAAAAAATAGTCCCCTGACTATTTTTGGATCATTTGTTGATTATCTTTTGGGTATGTTTTATTTTTATGTCGCAAATCCCCCTGTAGGGAGACAGGCCCGACTTAAAGCTACCCTTGGCCCGTGTTCCCCCTGTTTCGGCCTCCAGGGAGGCCCTGGTCGCCAGCGCTGGGTTCGCCTCGGACTCCAGGTCAGAACGCGCCCCGAGAGAGGGCCGTGGAGTACAGTGGGGGCGCGCATCAAGAAGCCATCTCCTTTTCGTGAGGGTTCCGCGGGTTTCTTCGCTCCGCGCGCTGCACGGTGACTTCCCGCGGCCATCAAAGAAGCTGCTGCGTTCAGAGTGCTCCAGAGTTCCCCTTCGGTGCACCTCGCGCGCGAGTTTTCAGGCTCGGGTTTCTTTACAGGGTGTCTTTCGGCCGCGCACGCACTGTAGCGGTATGGGCACCTCCCGGGTTCCCCAAGAAGTCGCCCATTTCCAGACCCCGGGAGCCACCACGTGATCGAAGCTGGCTCGAAGCGTGCAGCAGGGCTCTGGTGTTTTTTGTTGGGGCGATTTGTTTCGTTGTCGGGGGTGGACAGAAACCCCAACAGTGACACGTCGATTAGTGAATTGTCCGTTTTCGGTTCTGGAGAGGGCGCCGTGGCCGTCATTTTCCAGGCTTGCGCCCGCCAGGTTTGGACCCGAGGTCGTTTTCACTAAACCACGTTTTACCAAAGGGAGGTCTGTCCATCCCCGAGTTTGATCAGTTTGGTGACCTGTTGGTGACTTGTGGTGCCTCTTCGGCGATGCTTTGGCGAGTCGGATCTCAGGGGACGTGCGCGGCGACCTCGAGGGAGAGGGGCGGCGAGCGCCGTCCGCCAGTACTGAGCCAGCGGCGAGCAGGCAGCGACAAACACGGGGATGGGGGGGGGCTGGAGGATGGGTGCGGCCGGCCATGAGGGAGGGGGGAGCCTGCAGCGAGGGCGGCCCTAGATTGCTGGAGCGAAGAATGACATGACCACACAAACCTACAAACCTGGATGTCCGCGCGGACCTCCCAGTTTTTATGTAAGTATCAGCATTCGTTCCCCTACACACCTCCCTCTTCACCTCACTCTCCATGCCCACCTCCCCATGGGCACCTGCCATCGACGGGGGGACGGGGGATGGGTGTCCCAGAGCCAGGACCTCGAACCTCTGATTTGGGTGCGGAGCCCGTGGGCCTCTCCCTGGCTTCTCAAGACGGCCCCCAGACGGGGCTCAGAGAGCGCCAGAAAACTCGAGGAGGGCACGAGTAAGATGCAAGGGACCCCAAGGGTAGCGTCGACGCCGCCAAGACGACTTGAGGCAGCTTAAGATTGTTGCCAAGAGGCCCCTGAAATGGGCTGGAGGGTCATGTCAAGACCCCTGGAAGGCCCCCGAGAGGGACAATGCATTGATTCTCCAAGGGTCTTTCGATGATCTCAGGGCTTTTGTTTTCCCGCTACTCGGGCAAGAGGGCCTTGGACACTCCTCCGAGACAACCGCAACGGGCTGCAGGAGGATCCCAAGAGGCGCTCGCCCGAGACAGCCCAAGAGGGCCCCAAGACGCCCCCAGCGGGACTCCATGGGGAGCTCAGGACGGCCCCGGAGGGCCGCAAGACAGTCCAAGTGGGGCCTCGGAGGCCCTTTCGCAACCCAGGAGTCTCCCAACACAGCCAAGAGGAGCCCCGCTGTCATTTTTGCTGGAACCATCTTCCCCACCACCTCGGGGAACGAGACACTGCCTCTTGGGGCCTTTCGGGGCGCTCATGAGAGCCTCTTGGGGCCCACTTGGGCTGTCTTGGGCCCGTCTGGTCTCCTCATGGGGCTAGCTTGGATCATCTTCGGACCAGTTCGAGGCCTCAGATGTGAATGTTGCTTCTCGTAGGGGTTCCTTGGGGAGCTCCGATGGAACTTGGAGCGGGCCTGGGGCCACCTTGGAGCCTCTTCGAAGCATGTTGGAGGCCTTCTTGAGCCATATGGCGCTTTCTGGCATCACCTTGGAGGTAACCTTGTACTCTGTGAGGCCAGGTTGGTACCATCTTGGGCCACAAAGGACCCTCGAACCTCTCGCGGCCCTCCTTCCAGACCGAGGGGAGAAGAAGGGTTTTAGGAACTGGGCATCCAGTGGGGGCGCGTGCCGAGACACCAGCTGGATTTTGCCAGGGTGCCCTGGGTTTCTTGGATTTCGATGGGCCTCCAACAAGATCTTGACGATTCTCGATCGACAAATGTGGATTCTCACTGAACAAATCGCGAATTTCAGGGTTGGGTTTCTTGCGGAGGTTTCTTGTGGCCGAGCCCCCACTGTACACATAAGCGTTATACCACCTGCGCCCAGAGGGCTGGTGGGATTTTGAGGCCAGGGCTGGACCTCGACGCTGCCCTGCTTGGCTTCGGCTGTGTGCCATTTGTTTGTGTTGTGGCGGGGAGCTGCAGGAGCACAGGCAGGGCAAAACGAAACACAACACGACAACAAGACGAACACACACACAACCTGTAGGTCCAGCCCTGTTCGAGGCCCCATGTAGGCCATGGACCGCTAAGCCATGTCTGCGCCCCCCCGAAGAATAGGCACGACAACCAGCAGCAAGCTCCTGCCCACTGCTGCAGAGGATTCGCTGCTCCAGTCGCCGCGGCGCCGTTGCCCGTGTGTGCGGCACAACGCCGCCTGCCCGACAGCGGCCGCTGCGGGTGCTGGACGGCCCTCGCTGATGAGCGTCGTGCCCATGTTTGTCCCGTGCACCCACTGCGGGCGTCCAAAGACCAGCGTCGGCGAAGTACAGTTGAATTTGATTCGCAGATCGACCCTTCCCAATCACAGGGGCCCTGGTGTCCTGTGCCTTTCGCGCCCCACGTCCTCGGCGGTCCTGGGGAAGCGTGGCCCTCGGACGGGTCTCTGTGCTCCTCGCCTGTCCTCTCCGATCAAGCCCGACCCTAAGCGCGAGGGTGCTGGACGGGCCTTTGGTGCGCGGTTCTCGGGGCGTCGCGGCAGTGTGAGTGTGTGTGTGTGTGTGCCTTAGTGTGTGTGTGTGTGTGTGTGTGTGTGTGTGTGTGTGTGTGTGTGTGTGTGTCCCAGTATGTGTGTGTGTGTGTTTGTGTGTGTGGTGTGGGTGGGTGGGGGACTTCAAGCCCAAGCGCGCCGGCCGCTGCTGCCGCCCCGCACGTAACGTCCACGCATCAAATGTAGGCTGCAACCCGCCTGGGGCCACTGCTGATGCGTGGCCGATGGCCAGAGGGCAGCGCAGGACGACGTCGAGGGAGCGAAGGGCGTGTGGGTCACTTTACAACCAGAAGCGCACTTTACAACCAGATGGGTCACTTTACAACCAGCTTACAAAATCCGAGAAGGGCACTTTACAACCAGGAAGGGCACTTTACAACCAGGCAAGTAAAAACACATATTGAATGCACGCGGGCCTTTCCCTGAAATCTCCGTGGGCAAGCGCAAGGGTGGCTTTGGGCTCTTTGAGGCATGTTGGTTGTGAAGTTGCCCATCGCGCACGAAGAAGCACTGCGCACGCGTTGGCGATGCGGCGACCTGGTGCGCTATGGTATGTTGCGTGCTGGTGGGCGGATTAAGGTTTTGACCTGCTCTCTAAGCTCTGTCGGTCAGTTCTGCCATTGCTTGCTCTGCCTTTTTTCCTGACGGACGAAGGCTAGTCGCGCAGGACATACGAATAAACCGTGATCCCGTCCAAGACTGGAGCTGCATGGCAGTGGGAAGCTGTAGTGGGAGATGTGGTGGTAGCGGGGGCTACAATGGGAACTGCATCGTGTTGGGAAGCTGCGGTGGCAACTGTGGTGGTCGCCAGGCAACGGTGGGAACTATGGTGGTAGCTGGGCGGCAATGGGATTTGCGGCGGTAGCGGGGGGTCAATCGGAATTGTGGAGGTAGCGGGGCTGCAGCGGTAAGTGTGGTGATAGCAGGCACAAAGGTGGCGGTGATGCGCTGTCACGGTGGCTCAAGCTGCTGCGCTGGCACGGTGGCTGAGGCTGCTGCCCGAGCAGGATACCAGCGTTGCTGCGCTGGCACTGTGGCTGACGCTGGAAGGAACGATCTTCGAAATAGTTGCATTTATTCGGAACGTTGAACCTCGATCTTCCAAGAAGAGGAGCAGCAGGGGGCCAACTGGAGCTGGAGCACTTAGCCCCTTGCAGAACACCGTGGGGCTTCAGGGGCCAACGCGGCCCAAGAGACCCGCGGTGCCAATGGCCTAGTTCTTTGGGGCGCTGGGCCCTTGTGGAGGCCACTGGGCTCGCTTCCTGTGAGTGATCCCTAACATGGGCAGCGCGTCGCCCTGAGCCTTCCTACGTATGCTGTCGCCTTATTCCCGTGCGAGCACGGGGCCCTTGTTGAGGCCGCTTGGCCCCTGCTAGCAAGCCCTGTCTTAGTCTGCTGGGCTCAGAGCGCCAGAGCGTCCAGGCGCTCGGGCTCAGAGGCATCGCTGGGGCCTGCTCAGAGCGTCCAGGCGCTCGGGCTCAGAGGCATCGCTGGGGCCTGCGCAGAGCGTCCAGGTCCTCGGGCTCAGAGGCATCGCTGGGGCCTGCGCAGAGCGTCCAGGTCCTCGGGCTCAGAGGCATCGCTGGGGCCTGCGCAGGGCGTTCAGGCGCTCGGGCCCAGAGGCATCGCTGGGGCCTGCGCAGAGAGTTCAGGCGCTCGGGCTCCAGAGCGCCCACGTGCTCTGGAGCACTTTTCAGAGCGTCCGCGCGCCCTGGAACACTTTTGAGAGCGCCCACTTGCTCTGGAGCATTTTTCAGAGCGCCCACTTGCTCTGGGGCATTTTCCAGAGCGCCCGCTTGCTCTGGGGCACTTTCAGAGCGCCCACTTACTCTGAGCTGGTTGTAAAGTGGTCCGTTCTGGTTGTAAAGTGGCCCGTTCTGGTTGCAAAGTGGTCCGTTATGGTTGTAAAGTGTGCCGTTCTGGTTGCAAAATGGACGTTCTCGATGAAAAACCATACTTTCCAATCCTATGTTGGTTGTAAAGTAACCCATCTGGTTGTAAAGTGGTTGTTCTGGTTGTAAAGAGATCGAATCTCGGAGCCCAGGGGCCTCCTTTGCCCGCTGGGCACGCTTCGGCCACCCGTGGGCTGGACCCCCCGGTTGACATGACAAGAGGGGAGGAGGACGAAGAGGAGGAGGAGGAGGAGGAGGAGGAGGAGGAGGAGGAGGAGGAGGAGGAGGAGGAGGAGGAGGAGGAGGGGGGGGGGAGGGGAGGGAGAGGAGGGAGGAGGAGGAGGAGGAGGAGGAGGAGAGGAGGAGGAGGAGGAGGAGGAGGAGAGGAGGAGGAGGGGAGGAGAGGGGGGAGGAAGAGGAGGAGGAGGAGGAGGGGAGGAAGAGGAGGAGAAGGAGGATGGAGGAGGTGGGGGATGGAGGAGGAGGGGGAGGAGGGAGGATGATCAGGAAAGGGCAGCTGGAGGCAGCTTCTGAGGCCCTGTGCCCCTCGGAATCTCTCCGCGGGTCGAGGGTGTACGTCGGGCGCGGGCGCGCGCGGGCGGCGCGGCGCGCACGGCCGAGGCGAGGGCTTCCAGTGGAGACCCATCCCATGCCAAGAAACGCCCTGCTTGACTCCAGGGTGCCCTGGGTTTCTTGGGTTTCGATTGCTTTTCTGTCAAGAGCGCGACGTTCCCACGCCAATAACCAATGGGCGTCCTGGGATCTCAGGGCTGCGTTTCTTGAGGAAGGTTTCTTGTGGACTGGCTTCCACTGTACAACAGGCCACCACCTGGGGTATCGGTCTCTGCCACGATCTGTCAACTACTTAGCACCCGTGCCCATGCGACCCCCAGATTTCTCGGGGTGACTCCGTGGGGCCCAACACCCCTTACCCATACCTAGTGCCTTACTCTCATCGCCCTTCCCCACTA